AAAAACTGTCAGACTTACATAGACAAACCAAAGGCAACATTATTATTTTCTGAACCTGTTGGGCAGCCAGTCGCAGGACATCATACCTATTAAATGTACTTTCTCCAAGTTCTACAAACTCCTGTCATTGAGGTTTTTACAGTATTGTGCTGGTTCTGCTCTGCCTTTCTCTCCAGAAGTGCGGCAGGTAGGATTTCTGCTAAGGAAGTGCAGATGAGGTTCTTGTTGGATGGGAGAAGAACGCTACTTCTAAATATTTTAATTGCTTTCACTTTGGCTGGGCGTAAAAAGGCTTACAAATGGCATTTCTTATCAGCAACCACAGCCTTAAAGCACATCAATCTGTTTTACTTTGTCAGTGAATGAAAGAGCTTTCACGCAACCCAATTTTACATTGACTAAGTCATTGTTCTGTTCCAATGTTGCCATTGCTATTTTTCTCTGAGGTTACATGATTTCAAATTATTTTGTGTGTATTTGATCTCTTCCATTTTTCAGAGACCAGCCAGATGACTTGTCAGCAATTCACTAAGAAGAAGGAGGTAACAGTAACTGCTGTCTGAGGTGGGCTGTGATAAGAAGAAAGAGTTGGATTAAAATCTGTAATCATTGACCCCAGGAAGTTCAGCCTCTTGCTTCAAGACCATTTCTTTTACACAATTGAAAAAAGCTCCACCCTTTCAAAACTACAGAAAATGCAGAGCATCTTACTGTATTTGTGCATTCATGGAAAAGAAAATGCTACTTTCATACCAGGTATTCCCATATAGGAAATGCTGTGAGGCAGGGGTGGCTTGGTTGAATGGTTGGTTTTCATAATCAGGAAAATGAAACAAAACCATGTAATTTAACCAGTCAGTTGGAACTATCTCTATATAGCTCAAATGACTCCAAATAGTCTGAGAGAATTTTTATCAATCAGTTCCTCTATTTAAAAAATAACATGTGTGAGGCAATCATAACCAGTTTATGGATATTTTGTTAGTAGAAGAAGAAACCATATTCAGTGGATAAATTATGCATTACAAATTATTCCCCCAGGATCCAATTCAGAATGCTATTATATTACAAAATTCTGGACTGTATTTATACCTTTGTTTGGCTGATCAGCAGACAGACACATAACAACACATTGTGTGTAAGCACTCTTCTTAGGGCTTTTCCAGTATAAGTTCAGTGGTTAGTAGCTGCTCTTTCATGATGTGCTTCCAGCCAACCTGCTACAGCCTACTTTTCCTCAAGAAAGGTGACTTTTTTCATAATGCATAAGGCATAAAGAATTTTGTGGCTTACTTCTGGACTCAAGAGGGAGATTATGCCAGCTGCCCATATCTAAAGTCTGTGCTCAAGTGCATAGGTCAGGGAATTCTCCGTCCAAGAGCTAATACAGCTTGCTGTTCCTTCTGAGATTTCAGGTTTAGGAACACAGTTTTTTCAATGTGATTCTATGGCCATAGAAAGAAATTGGCCCTTTATACCACATTTGAAAAATAGCATCCTTTGTCTACCTCTTAAATTGTAATAGGAATATATAGTGAAGTGCTCAGCTTGTCCTTTTTCTAGATCTATATCCTCTAGGGCATTGAACTGAAGTTACTTGTGTCTCAGATCAAAGTCATTTCACTTAGAAACTCAGGTTGAGCTTGAAGGCACAGTCTCTTAAGTGAAGGTCAATGGTTTATCCATTACTGCACCCAACCCCAAATTATTTTTGCAATTAGTAATATTTATATCTGTTTTTATAGTGTAAAAGAATAAAGGATAGTCAGCATTTTCAAGAAATACAAGTTAAAGGTGTCCTATCATTTAAAATGATATATCATGTTAGAAAGGAAACTTAAAAGCTGGCATATGCAATCTAAAATTAAATACAGATTTTGAATTTCAGGCTGTGAAGCTAAAAAGATCAAAGGAAACTCTTTACAGTTCTTTGGAATTTGGTATTATACTTCCCGGGAGGTCATTTACTCCCATAATTTAGTCTGACTTATTTTGGCTTCAGTTCCATTAAAAGTATGTAGCAAAAAGAGTGCCTTTTTTAACTTTAATTTTTAACTGCAACCTGTCAGTTAAAGGAAAAAAAAAAAAAAGAAAAAAGACTGTCTGGAAGAGGATGATCTACAGAAGCACTAATAGCTTTCAAATCTTTTTACTTTTTGAGCCTGATATGGCTAAAAACTTACCTGAAAAGATTGTATTTTAACCCTTTTGACTGTTCCTGGACATAATGTGTGCTTTTATTTAAAGAAAAGTTACTGTCCTTGAACATATTCTGTCATTTCCCCAATAACATCTCCCTTTACTGCAATGCCTTGCCTTGTTGGACAAAATAATAGGAGGACCCCAAGTTTAAGGTTCTTATAGGCAAACATCAAAAGCATGCTTGTTAAAAGTCAGAGGAGTATCCAGAAGTTTACCTACTGTCTGGAGAAACCCAAGAATGAGCAGATACCTGCTGGGATATGAAGGCAGCACTGATGGAGCTTAGACTAAATTGTAGTCTTACTTCACTGCATTTTGTGAGCAAGAAATCAAGAGTGGTTTCAAAAGGATGAGAAAAATTTAAAAGAGCTTTTGCCTTTCAGAAAAGATGTGGTATAGTCCTGACGTCATTATTTATTTTATCTATAGCAGTTTCCACAAACAGGACCTAAAAAAGAATTAATAAATAAGAGACGTAGGTACTTTTTCTTCTAAGACTACTTTAAAGCCACCTGGTGGGTGCAGCAGAGGTGGTAATGTAATGCTCTTTACTGAAATAGGAAGTCATCTTCCCTCATCAACACTCCTCTTTTTCCCAGTGGGGAATGAGAAGAGGCAGTACAACAGCTCAACTTTCCATCTTCAAGAGGTTGGCCTTGGCCAGGTTTAAGGCTGGGGAAATGGAGCAGATAGATCCATTCTATGAAAGGACTTTCCTCCTGCTTGACATTCAGGCTTTCATCTGATCCTGAGGAAAGTCCCAGCAAAATCACCCAAGAGCTGTATGATCTCATTCTTTTGTTATACTGTAAGATGTATTTGCAGAAGCACTCCTGGGGACAATTCAACCTTAGGAGTTGCATTCAGCGCTACAGTATGTTTTTATACATATATATATGTATATTGTTTTGCTTCTGGTTTTGACCACATCATTTAATTATTTTGTCATCTTACACCACAGCAGGTATTTTGTACCTAGTTCAGTAGGATGCACACAGCTGATGGTGACTCTTATTTGTTCACCCCTTCTCTCCTTGAGGCTTTCATTTACTCTCTAAATTGCTATGAGTAGAAGTTTTTGAGTGGTGTTTTTTTTTTTACCTTCTCTGTAATGCAATAGGGTAAACAAAACTACAAGAACAACAGTAGTCTTGGACCATAAAGGATGTGATAGACTGGCCTTCTCTCTGGCTCTTGGGAAAACTGGGGCTCTTGCTGTACCATTACAGTAGACTAATGATAGTCTAGTGTATACTAATAATTTCCCAGCAAGATATGTGCTTGAAAATATCTTCCTGTTCTTGTATGATTAATGCTTCTGAAAACATAACTGTTTCAATCTGACAGAACCAAATGGATTAAAAATGTTACAAATGCTTTTTTGCAGTAAAAAGAGTAGTGGCAGCAGAGAGGTTAATTCTCCTCTTTTCAAGCAGGTATCTTCGTAGAAGAGAAGTGATTAAAAGAGTTTCTCTTTTGGTATAAAAGTGTTTTTCTAATCTTGTTGAAGTGCCTAAAATGTGTTTGAAGAGCCAGATAAAAGCATGGACTTCTTTTTTAATGAGTTACCTGTTATATGTTCCAGTGTTTATTTTGTTCTGTCATTGAAACACATTTTCTTAAAATGTCTCTTTCCTCACCACAGTCAATAGGTAATAATGATGCAAGACATTTAGGATGAATTTCAACATTAGGTACAAAAGAATAACTCTCTCCCAAAATTATATGACTGCACAGACAAAGCCAGAAACAGGGTGCCCATTTTAAAAAATGTTGGAATATTGAGCATATCTTAATTTCTCAGGGTCATTTGGAACAACATAAGAATTTTTGTTTCAATTTCTCAGCAAGTTACCTACTAGACTGAGGGTATCCAAAAAAAATGTAGCCCATTCCTGACAGCTGTGGTATCCAAAATGATTCTGCTGATCTTCTAATGCTAGGAAACTGATCCCAAATACTTCTTTTGGTTATTCTTTCCTTCTTTCTTTACTTTCCTTTTCATTTTTCCTCCTTTCTTTTCTTTTTTTTTTATTATGTGGGTTAAATTATTTTTTTCTTTCTTTATCTAATATTAATGCCTGGTAGAAAACTTCACATTAGAAAACCTTATAACTTAGTTTAAACCATGGATGATAGAATCCCCCCATTTCATTCTAGATGGAAGAAAAAGCCTCTCTATAGTCAAGGAAACCTCAAGCTAAAAAGACTAACATTGTACCATGCTGCAAATGTTCTCTGCTGGCATTAGATCCTTCAGTGGAAAATTAGGTGCAGACCTAGGTTGTTTATTGAACCAAAGGCATACATGTGCTAAAGACAGCTCTCTGTTCTTCACAAAGGTATCGACTGCTTCTATCATCATAGGATTCCCCACTATTCTTTACCACTGGGGAAGGAATAGATCCAAAGCAGAGAAAGAAAAGGTGTCTGAGCACATGCAGAACTTCCCTGAACAGCAGTGGCTTTTTGTGCTGCTACCATGTATTTAAAAAACTATTACAACTGAAAAAAAAACCCCAAAGGCAGAGTTGATATATGCAAAAGGAGACTTTCCCTGTGATCTCTGATTACCCGGTTCTCCACAGAGCAGCCATGTCTGCAATGTCCTGCCTACATCTGGACATCTAAATGGGTTGACCTTCATGGAGCACACAATAGATTCATGGGTTAAAATGGCCAAAAGGAAATTTCACTGCAGCATGGAATTTGGTTGACTTGAAAATAAATTAGATGGTGTAGCATGTTAGCAAAAGTTCTGATTGTACCTGCTCAGCATAGAAATAGTTAGGCCTTACCTTAACTCTGCTCTTCTCAGCAATTGAGATTCTCCATGTTAAATATTTCTTTTTTTTTTACTGTTCCTCTGTCCTCTTCATCTAAACCCAGCTGCCCTCTCTTTCCCCAGAAATTGCAAGAGTTGGAAGGCGCAGCAGTCCAGCTTCAGTATCCATTGAGATCAAACCTAAAGAAATGGACCCATCTCTATTCAAAATGAATTTCCTTTATACAAAAAACACAAAGGAAACTGAAGCTACATTTCTAAATACTGAAAAGCAAAGAATAAAAGATGACTTTTCCCTTAAAGTGTTCTATGTCAACGTCATTTAGTGCTTTGGCAAATCCCAGGATATTCTAGGACTAGTTTAGGGTAGCAAGCCATGCACATACCTTTTCATTAGCCTCTTATTTTCAAACAGAGGCCTGCAGAAATTCCAGTGCTCTGAACCCTCACAGGGGGATGGAGCAAACAGAAAAGATCTTGTTAAAAGTGTCCTTCTCCAAAGACTATTTTCCCTCTTCTTTTTAAAATACTGTTCTCTGGGAAAAGAGAAACCAGGTTTAGCTGAATATGTCCTCACCATGCCAACTTCTAGTATTTTGCTGCATTTGTCAGTGCCACCAGTCAGTTGTGGCATTGATTCCTATTTGTCTCTGAGTAAGGAAGCTGAAATTCTAGATGAAATGACTTGTGTACATGGATAGATTTCATGAGATGAGACTCTCTATGTGCTGAGGCTTCTACTCTTCCTGTGTAAACCCATGATTAACTATCATTACTATTTAGTTACACAGAGGCAGTGCTTACATAAGGCTAGTGTTTTGTTCTCATGTGCTGCTTTCTGTCACTCGTCCATCAACCTGGAATCTTTAATTTAACATTAGAAGTAACTTGAATATACTTTTATCATCCCCAGCAACCCCTCACTGCTTTGCAACATATAGTCTTTCCAAGCATCTCTGCAAACTAATTTTTCCCTCTTTTGTTTTATTTCTTCATTAAAACAGCCTTTTTTAATCCTTTCTTTTCTGCCTTAGAAAGAGGTTTGTTTTTTTTTTCTCTCAGAGTTTTTTCTTTTCAACCTTTCCTTACCTCCTTCTCCCTGTGGTAAACTTAAACATACCTTAAACTTCTCAAGGTGGACCTTCAGACCATGGGATAATAACAGTAACAACAACAACAATGACAACAATAATAATAACAATAATAATAATAAAGAAAATGATAATCATTTGGAACTCTATGTGAATGATTTTATACAGAACTTACAAGCAAATAATAGAGTGATCGTAACATTATGCAAGGAAAGTGACATAATTTAAGTCAATCAACAAGGGTTAATGAAACCTAGATCTCATCAGAATAACTTGATATCTTTTGATGAAAACTTTAGGATGTTATACATGTATCAGGAAAAATGACAGGTTTTATGTGAAGTGCTTTGATTTGATATCACGCAGCATCTTATTACAAAACCTGGATATTGCAAAATCAATATGGTACATATTAAATGGGCTAAATGTGATGTTGGTCTCAAAATATATTTGGATCATAGAATCATAGAATCATAGAATAGTTAGGGTTGGAAAGGACCTTAAGATCATCACGTTCCATCCCCCATGCCATGGGCAAGGACACCTCACACTAAACCATCTCACCCAAGGCTTTGTCCAACCTGGTCTTGAACACTGCCAGGGATGGAGCGTTCACAACCTCCCTGGGCAACCCATTCCAGTGCCTCACCACCCTCACAGGAAAGAATTTCCTCCTTATGTACAATCTAAACTTCCCCTGTTTAAGTTTTAACCAGTTATCCCTTGTCCTACCACTACAGTCCCTAATGAAGAGTCCCTCCCCAGCATCTCTATAGCACCCCTTCAGATAGATACTGGAAGGCTGCTATGAGGTCTCCACGCAGCCTTCTCTTCTCCAGGCTGAACAGCACCAACTTTCTCAGCCTGTCTTCATATGGGAGGTGCTCCAGTCCCTGATCATCCTCGTGGCCCTCCTCTGGACTTGTTCCAACAGTTCCATGTCCTTTTTATGTTGAGGACACCAGAACTGCACACAATACTCCAGGTGAGGTCTCACAAGAGCAGAGTAAAGGGGCAGGATCACCTCCTTCAACCTGCTGGTCACGCTCCTTTTGATGCAGCCCAGGATACGGTTGGCTTTCTGGGCTGCAAGTGCACACTGAATCCAGCTCATGTTCATTTTCTCATCAACCAACACCCCCAAGTCCTTCTCTGCAGGGCTGCTCTGAATCTCTGCCCAACCTGTAGCTGTGTCTGGGATTGCTCTGACCCAGGTGTAGGACCTTGCACTTCAACTTCATGAGGTTGGCATCAGCCCACCTCACAAGCGCGTCGAGGTCCCTCTGGATGTCATTCCTTCCCTCCAGTGTATCAACCAAACCACAAAGCTCATCATCTGCTGAGTATGTACATTTCTAGTGTGCTGTTAGTCTTACTATATTTGGTATCTTAATTCATGCTGTGGAAGAAAAGAGTCACAATAAACTGTGATAAACACTAACTGTGAATAGAGGACATGCATAAAAGATGAAGGAATAAGAAAAACTGTTACAGGACACTTTGGGCACAATGAAGTTGGGAAGAATCAAACTATGCATTTTGGTGAAGGTAAGATCATATACCAAGTAAGAAAAAGGTTGTGCATGGGCATTTAAAGGAGACTGCATTTGTCCTAGAAAACAATTATACTGAAAGGGTTGGGATGTGAAGAATGGTTCTGTGTAAAATTTCAGTGTGATCATGAAGCCAAAAGGTCCTATCTTACCCCTAGTGAGGAAAAAGGGATTTTAAGTAGGAATCTCTATTGCCTCTGTGGTGAGATGACCTCTTCTGAAATACTGTTTCTTATTCCAGAAGCCAGACTTGTAGAGAAGTAGAACAATAAAGAGGAGTCTTAGAAGAGACAGGAGTATGATTAAAGGCCAAATAATCTACTGTGTATTGAGAAACTCCAAAAGCACTGCCTACCAATTTATCAAAGTAAAAATTAAAGGCTGATTTAACTGGATTCTATAAGCATGTATGCATGCGAATAAGAAATGTGATAACACATGCCTCTTCAGTCTAATTAATGAAAACAGCACAATTTTCAGTGAATCCAAAGGATCTCATAAACTCTGATTTAAAAAAGGTATAAATTTGTCCTGGTAAGGGTTGTTAATTATTGAAAAAAATTATGTAGACGTGTGGTAGTTTCTTCATCACTGAAAATTTAAGCATTAGAGCTGGATGTTTTTTTCCTGAAAGGAGGAACAAGACTGAATTCAAAGAAATCCTGTGGTATACAGGAGGTCAGACAAGTTGTTTAGATGTTCCCTTCTGTTTTCACAGTCAATGAATCTAAGCAGATACTGGTTCAAAGAATTTATTGTCTTGTCTTCTATGGGATTACTCATATACTTTAAGTTGAACAGGTATTTAAGTGGTTTGCTGGATCAGAGCCAAACAGAGCTGGTACCATGCCATTTCAGTACTCCTTTTACAGCTGTGGCAGAACAGGACTTGAGGCTGGTATACTACCAGTGGTCACACTACTCCAAGTAATTGGCTTAGAAAACAGTATAGATTAAATGGTACAACCAGGAGTAATTTTGAAAGGCAGTCCTGTATTGTGGAACTACTAATACATGAAAATAACAGCTGTTTGGCTCAAGTGGTGCACAGAAGAGGTTTCTGGAGACTTATCAAATTATTAGTCCAGGATGTCCTGATATAAAAGAAACAATTTTGCAGGGAGATGCTACATTGAGGTAGGAATTATCTTCAAATAAACTGTATACACAGTAGAAGACTGTCCTAATCACTTTCTTAACTGATGCAACTAGAGTAGTATTACATGGTTATGCAGGAAAGATCTTAGTAACACATACTAGTGATTGTGGCTTGCTTTCTCTTCTGAGCTTTCTCAATCCCTACCCTATGCTTTAACAATTTAATAATCTGATTTATGTGCAGAGATGTAGGATTATGTCTAGGCAAAGGATGCCTGAGAATTTTACACAATTCATCTGGGTTTCATGCTTACCAGATCAAAATTAAGTTTTCAAAGGAAGAGCTGGATGGAAAGGATCTACTAAACGACTTATCATCTTACTGTACCAAGTTATTGTCCTTTTATCTGACATTTTCTTTGCTGCTTATCTTTCTCTATACTCACCATTCTGCTGTCTGGTAAATGCTTTCTTTTTTGTATATCCCCTCAGACTTCTCCATCTATCTACTGTTGTTCTGCTAATATGCTAATGGAGAAGATCTGGTCCCCATAATCTGCAGCTTTTGTACTACAGCTTACTGTCTTCTACGTGTTTTATTTGGTTAGATGACCTCAAACTATAGGATACATACAATAGTATACAAGATACATCAAAGTGTTATGTTAATACTGTGTGAAAAGCTAAATGCTTTCTCCTCCTCCTGTCAGCACCATTTCTATTGACAGTAGTAGCTAAGTGAAGTATGTCTGAAAATTGCTACAGTTCCATCTTTTCCAAAATTTCTCAAAATATATTTGGGATGTGCAGCTTCCATTCAAAATGAAGACGAATATTCTAAGGTATGGCTTGGCCAAAATGCTAACCTCATGAAATGATGCCAGGCCACATTAACTCTGAGGTATTGCTCAGTACGTCAGGAAAACCCCAGCCAACAGGATCACGTTTACTGAACTTGCAATTGACTCCCTTAGTTACATTCTGTGCCTGTGGTTGCTCCAGGTGAAGTAAAGGAGCTGGAAATGTGGAGACCAGAAAGACTCTTAAGCGAGTGAGAGAATATTTCGTGAACATTTAGGCTATCTTCTTCAAAAGATGCCTCATGCACTATCTCAGTACACTCAGGGTGGTGTTCTGGGGTAGAGGAAGGTTTGCTCTAATGATGCTGCCTTTATACAACTGCTCAGAGAGCCATAGCAAGCCAGCCTGTCACAGGGCAGTCCTGTTCAGAATCACCCAGGGCAGGGGGTTCAGAGCTGAAAGATCAGCAATAACTGCCTTTAGAAAGTTCCTATCTCTTTCAAATACTCTGTCAAGCAGAGCTTTACAGAACACAGAGATTCATGCTTTTAAAGTGGCCACAAATACTTGTGTATATCCCACTCCTAAGAAGGGAGCTATGAAATCTTTGGGGTTTGTTGTTTGTATTTAAAAGCCC